TTGCCATAAATACACTTTCTTAATGAGTATGTATTGTGTCTTATTTGATATGATGTCTGAATATAATAGATTGGCACATGAGCATTTTTATGGCTTCCTTGATCTCTTTATTCCTTAAACTGTAGATAACTAGGTTAAAGAATGATGATACCACTGCAAACATTAGGCTATGGCTGTGTCCCAGAAAAAGGAGTACTTGGCAGAGAAGGTACATCAGGGCCACACTTCCAAAAAATATCAAGAAAATAGCAAGTTGGGAAACGCAGGTAGAAAGGCCTTTTGGTGTCAATCGGCAGAGCAACTATGTAGGATTACTGTAGGGACACAAAGATAAGCCAAAACCATAAGCATTGTCGCTGTGATGATCTCCACAGCATGCTCAGAGTCCACAACCTTGGTTAAAACAATTGTGCCAGTGTCCATATATGTTAGATTCAGGATGGGACTGAAGTTACAGAAGATATTCTGTATTTGATTTGGACCACAAAATGAAAATGTAGATATCTAAGCACTCTCAGGGAGTGGTGTGAAGAAGCCACAGAAGCAACAACCTAGAGTCAGCTGAGTGCAGTGCTGAGGTGTCATGACCGTGGGGCAACAGAGAGGCTTGCAGATGGCTAGGTATCTGTCCATAGCCACGGTGGTGAGCAGGCAAACTCCAGTAATGACAAGGGAGCGAAAGAAATACATCTTCAGAGGCAGCCAGTCAGAGAAATGGTCTTCTCTCCTTGGCTATATTGGAGAGCATCTTGGGTATGATGGTCATGGTATACCAGATCTCCAGGAAGGAGAGAACACTGATGAAGAAACACATGGGGGTGTGGAGGTGGAAATCTAGTTTGATGGCAAAAAAGACCATAGGGGTTCCAATGACGATGAATAGGTAAATCATGAGCAAAAAGATAAAAATAACCATCCATTTTCCTGCAAATGGAGAAAACCAGTGAAAAGAAATTCAATTACTTCTGTCAGACTCTTACTTGTCATCTTCTCAGCTGTGGGGCAAAAAAAAGAAGAAATGAGACTCCTGGACAGCGAGTTTAGATAATTAATTGGATAATCAATTCATTCATTTATTATATATTTCATTTGTTCATTCAAATATTTGGTGAGAGCTCACCGTGTTCTACGTTTCGTTCTCTGCAATACACTCGAATGAGAGGGATCCCTAAAAAACAGCTGATGTTCCAGATACATAAATTGCTGTATTCCTCCTAGCCCGCCACACCAAGAGATTCAGCTTATATAGTCAATTGCCTATTGCCCAAGACCACACTTTTATAATTAGCAGAATTTTTTCCCTGTATATTTCTTTTCTGTCTAGAAAGAATGTATATCCTTCACCTTCTTCCCTCTGTATCAGCCCCTCTCTCACTCAGAAAAATACTATTAAGTGTTGTGGTGAGAAAAGCATGCGATTTGAAGCCTGGACTCAGTTTGGTTACTTGCTCTATCATTAGCCAACGATATGAACTTAGGCAAGTCTGTTTGCCTCAGTTTTTTTTGATCTACACAGTGGATATGAATATCAACCACACAAGATTGTTATGAGAATTAAGTGAGGTGGTCAAATAATAACTTGCTTTCTAGGCCATAGTTCTGATTACAATCAGGCCCAAGCCCTCAAGCCCATGTGAACAGAAGTGGTTTTATTTGTGCACTATACAACCTACAAAATGAAAGAGGAAGTTATATTTTTTCTCACTTGCCCCGCACCTTGCACATCCACCAAATACGCGTACACATATCTTTTTCCGCCTCCATATATTTGGCCAAAGCCATTTTTCTCACTTATTCAAAGTGTTCTGGATCCTATCTCATAGCCAATCATGCTATATTTGAAGGAAAATATTTTTTCTTCAGTCCGTCATACTGCTTTGAGCTCTCTGGCATCAAGCCCCATACTCACCTCTGTCCAGAGGCCTTCTCTGTTTTCTCACAAATGGGATAAAACACACACCCCAACATAGATTTCTTAGAGATTATAAGTAACTTGATTTTCCCTACTAGAGTTTTCGTCCAGAGTATCAGGAGAGTCTGAGTATCAAAACAAAATAATCCATTCCTTTTAAGATTAGTTAAAGAAAATGATTGGACTTGCAATTAGAGATGCTATTCTAGAGGCTAGCCTCCACCTCATTTATTAAGTCCCTAGGTCATAGCATAGACCAGATTTTGAAAATGTGGGAAAGAGTCAAAGGGAAAGGTGTGAAGGAAAAGTGAAAGGAAAGAAGAGATTAGGTAAAAGGGGAAGAGTAAAGAAAGGAGCAACCTCTTGCGTTGGTCTTCTCATCTTCTTTGTAGACGACTCAAATGCCTAACCCATTTTCCTTCACTTTGATTCTGGATATCAGAGAATGTGCCTTGTAGCCATATTATTCCAACACTTACCACTGCACTTACCCTGAACACAGTGGTAATTTTTAAAACTTTCTTGAAGAAATAAGTGAAATATTTCAATAGTACCAACAAGAACCGCAGGGTTTGTCTATGCTGTGTAGTTGCTGAAAAACAAGTCTTCCCAATCCCTCTGTTTCCTCAAGAATATAGTCATAATATTAGGAAATTTAGAATGATGGTAAAGAACAAGGCTTTTGAAGTAAGATAGACGGGGGTTCAAATCACAGCTCAGCCTCTTACTGAATGTGTGTCCTTAGAGAAATCACTTAACCTTTATAAGCCACAGTTTCCTCACTTATAAAACAAGAATGATAATAATACCTATTGTGTAGTGTTGTTATAAAGTAACAACATATATAGGAGATGTTTATTACGATGTCTTAAATATAGTGAGTGCCCGTTAGTGGAAAATTGTATTATTGCTGTAATATATATATAATTGCAATTGTGAACATATAAAATTGTGAATATATAAAATGGTATTTTATTATTACAAGCAACAGCATGATTAATAAATGCAGCGCAGTTGTTGATAAAAGAAATATGAGTTAGCTGCTTTTGTACTCTCCAGGCCAGAAGGTACGTGTTTCCTTAATCCCGTGTATTCACTAACTGCAGATTTACAAGGTGGCATATGAATGTTAACACACTATGAACTTTCTTTTTATGTTTCCTTTCCTTTTTGTTTTTGCCTTAGCTTGGAATTTGCTTTATTCAACATACACACACATGCACACATGCATGCACACACAGGTTACTCAGTAAAATTAATTTACATTCACAGTTTGGAGTGAGGGTGGGTTTAATCATAGAAGGTTTTTAAGCAGAGTAGTAAAGCAATCAGATCTAAGTGTTAAGAAATACCTCAGTCTCAGTTGGGAGAGCAGCTTGAAGGTGGGAGAGTATGAAAATAAGAGAGGTAGTTTTAGCTATATTAATTTTTAGGGATATTGATAATATTGTAGGAAAGGGTTATATAATACAAAATGAAAAAGTGTGGAACGGATATGAACATTATGTAACACTTTCATATACTGCAGATTTATTTGTACCAATTCTGTAACAATATTGCACTTAGAAAAGCACAGTTAAAATAATTAATTAATTAGTCAATGAATCAGTAAAGTAATTTCATTTGTCATGTCTTTTGAAAAACATTAAAAATAGACACATTACTTAAACCCAGCAGCACTTCTTCTATCCCTTTATCTTTCTTCTCTCATTTTCTTGCACCAAGTATTTTCTGAAGAGTTTCTTTTACCAAGACCTCTCCACCCACAACCTATGGTTTTTCTCTCATTTTTCCTCCTCTTCTCCATCTGAGCTCTTTATTAGATAGCATTAGCCTCTTATAAGAGCTTTCCCTTCACTTCTGTCTTTCCATTTGACTTTTAAGTAGCATAAGATTTAGAGGTGAGGATGGATGAGGTAGTGGCTGTGGCACAGTAGTGGGGAAATGAGGCTGACAACTATAGGATTCAGGTAGGTGGGCTAGGGAAGGGTGAAAATCTACTAACATTTGCATAATAATAAGCTTTATCCCATCCCAACTGAGACGTGAGTCCCAGAGAAAATCATCCTTTGTGAAGCATGTGTAAGAAGAGTCAGCAAGAGAAACAACCCTCAAAGAAAGCAGGATAAAAAAGAGTCCAGAATTCTGAAAGATGATGGAGGAAAGACTGAAAAGGGGAGAGCTGTTTTCAATACGGTAGATCAGTTGGCTGGAATAATCAGAATGCAGCATGGTGGTATTGGTTTATTCATTCAATGGATATTTATTGCTTAATTAATAAGTACGATACATTTGATTACAGTAAAAGCAAATATTTTGTTTTTTGATTTATCATGAAAAAATATGATTAGTTAATAAATACCTTAGTGATGCTGCTCTATTTTTTTTAGAGCCAAATTTTTTATGTTCATCTCTTGCATTTAAAGTATTCTTCAATGACCTCCTTGGCCTGAGATTCTTTGCCATAGTCTTTAACTGTCACACAACTTCAACCAACCACTTTCCGTCAATTTTCCTTCTCTTAATTTTACAGACGCCTACGTGTTCCCCTAGTTTCTTGCTGTCATGGATATTAAAGTTGATTTGGTGTTCAGCACAATGGCCTCCACTAACTTGACACACGTAGGCTCACTACTGCTGGATGCAAGCACACAAAGATGGCTTTTGCATCTGTTATTCACCCAGACATCGAATTAATATTGTGTAGTATTGCTGATGTACAAATGGTGAAGGGAATTCATAATAGAACCTGCTGAAATATGTCTAGACTGCTATTGATCAATACATGCATACTCAATTTAGAAATTAGAGTTATTCTTCAACTATATCCACTGGAAGTACCATGGAGAAAACTTAATCTTATGAAGATGATTTTTCAATTACCTTATCTTACAAACAAATATTTTGATTGCGTTAAAAATAAGTAAATATTTACCCAGATCATTTCCACAAAGTGAATTTATCTTGAATAAATTGAGTGACAGAGAGTTCAATTAACAAAGTCAGATCCAAAAATATGTCAAATTGGATAAGGATTGAAAGAAACTATTGAATTCAGTTATTAGTGAACTTTGTTTATTGGTGACCTTTGAGAGACCAGTTTCAGTAAAAGCTGGATGGGAAAAAACAGATTGCAGAGAGTTGAGGATGAAAAGGAACCAACAACTATATAGACTCCCGACTATTGGATTTTACTTGAGGTCTCTGGTCTTATGAAAAAAGATTTTAGCTTGACCCAGGTGCTTTTTTATAGCTTCTTTTATCTCTTTATTCCTCAGACTATAGATAATGGGGTTGAAGAAGGGGGACAAAACTGCAAAGGCCAGAGCGATGGCTGTATCCCAGAATAAAGAGTAGGTGGCAGAGAAGCGTAGGTACATGAGAGCCACGCTGCCGAAGAAGAGCAAAAAGACAGTGAGGTGGGAGACACATGTGGAAAAGGCCTTGCGGCGGCCTTCAGTTGAACGAATACGTAGAATTACAGCCACAATACCAATGTAGGACATGAAAATGAGCATCACAGCTGTAATAATCTCCACTGCATGGACAATATCCACTACCTGAATCATGATGATGGCTTGTGTGTCTGTGCAGGCCAGGCGTAGCACTGGGAGGAAGTCACAAAAGATGTGCTCAAGGTGATTAGAACCACAAAACGGCAATGTGGAGATCCAGGTAATCTCAGGGAGGGGTGTGATAAAGCCACAGACACAGCAACTTAAAGTCAGTTGGGCACATAGCTTGGGGGTCATGATAGTGGGATAATGAAGAGGGCTGCAGATGGCCAGGTAGCGGTCAAAGGCCATAGCTGTCAAGAGACAAACCTCACTGATGCCTGTGGAATGGAAGAAATACATCTGCAGGAGACAACCATTTAAGGAAATGCTTTTCTTCTCACTAAGCAGGCTAGAGAGCATCTTTGGTATGGTAGCTGTGGTATACCAAATCTCCAGGAAAGAAAGGGCACTGATAAAGAAGTACATGGGAGTGTGGAGGCGAGTATTCAGCTGGACCACTGAGATAATGACCAGATTTCCAACAATAATGAAAGTATAAATGAAGAGAAGTGGAACAAAACAGATGACAGAGTCTCCCCGAGAATAAGGGAAAGCAGAGAAGATAAACTCTTGAGCAATGGTTTGATTGGAGCTCTCCATCTCCAGGTCAGAAATGAAGATTTCAACTCTCAGTGTACTCAGGCCTTCTAGGAGATGTCTAATACTGGTCACAG